CCGTGCTTCATCATGACGCTGCCACCACCGTGCTTGTGCTCAGGACGAACATCAAATCAGCAAAAACAAATCAAATTCAATTAATTAACTGTATTTCTGTAGCACTAATTGACAACATCTGAGGAAGCTGAAGTGAAGATCCTACAGAATTCTACAGAGAAACTGCCGGAACCAAAATAAACCTGCTGAAGGAAGCGTGCTGTGTGTTCAGGACTCCTCAGAAGCTGCCGTTCTCGCTGGATGATGTTGGATTGACAGCTGAGTTACCAAAGCTGGTGCAGCTCAGAGTGGACGAGCTGCTGGATGGAGGAGGCAGCAGTGTGTTGGTGTTGTAACTGCAGCTCGGCGGGGGTTTGACTGACAGGAACAGGCCTCCTGTTGGTCAGCACTTATTTAATGACTCGCACTCTGTGGGCTCTTGAACTGGGATTAACTGCAGCTCTGTACCTGCTTCGACAAACGCCGATCACACGGCAGTTCATCAGTCCGACGCTCGCAGATCGATTCGATCGAAGCCGGATCATCGGCTGCTGACTGACAGGCCGGAGGTTGCATAAATGGCCGCCATGTCCCATCATGCCCCCCTGAGTGTCCCGGCAGCCAATGGGGAGCCTCGGTGCTGTGTGATGCCGGTCGCCCCCCTGGTATAAGAGCCCAAACCACGGTGAGGGCCCTCCTGAGCAGTTGGAGCATTCCCAGCCTCGCCTCGGGTGGAGGGATTGCGAGGAGGGAAAGCAAAACTACACGGCCTCACTGTGTAGTTTTGTTTTTTTGGGGGATATTTCGAGGCTCGACCGTTCTCTCCCTGGATTTTTGTGGAAACCCTTTAGGGATAAGGAGACGGTTGCTGGTGGGTCGGAGGGCTCCAGCCCATCAGTCAGGGCGCTCTGGTGAAACAGGTGAGTGGCTTCACCTGGACGCGCTGAACCAGGTGGACTCGGGGTTTTCTGTGTGTTGGTGTTTTGGTGGTTTTGTGGTGGTTTTGTGTATTTTTGGGTGCAGATGGCGGCGGCGGCGGCGGCCTCGTGCACAAAGCTGTGTGCTGAACTGTGGAGGCCAAGAATAGCCTGTGACAGCAGCAGCAGGGCGCTGATGGCTTTTTAAGGGAATCAGCAGCAGGGTATCGGGTCACCGCACATGCTGCTGTCAGTCAGCAGGTATTTTTGGCTGCTGCCATATCTGTCGCTCAGATGCCGATCTGTAAACATGAGCTCAGTTTATCCAGTTTGATCCTGCAGAGAGATCAATATTTGAGGGGAAGTGTGCCGATCGATTGCTGATCGATCGGTGCTGATCGGCGGTCGATGCTGCAGACAGAAGCTGAGAAACTCAACGCTTCTGCTCAAATCAGCTGACGGCAGTAAAAGCAGCGAGCAGCTGACGAGGCGTCCCATCAGAGCCGATAAATCACCAATAGGCCCTATTGATCACCAGCTGCTCACTTCAGTTTATCGTCAAATCATCAGATTAAAAATCAAGCTGTTGATGCTTTTACACGTTTATTCTGTGAAGCTTTGTTTGTGTTGAAGGACCGGATGTAAAACCATCAGAACTTTGTGTCCCGGCAGCTTTTCATCTCTTGAAGTCAGTTTTGAGCGTTTCAGGATCCAAACCGTCCTGATTCAGCTGCTTCACAAACCGCCGTCACCACGTTTGATAATCAGAACACTTCATCGGTCTGCTCACGTCATCACAGGATCGTCATCATGTTGGATTTACATGAGCAGTTTATTATTTACCTCAGAAACATTTGGTGTGTTGTTGACTGTGTTCAAGTGGAAATAAATCTGTAAACATGGTTCAGTAGAAGTACTCGGATACTTTGTCAGAGGAAAACCTCCTATGGACGCACCGCAGGAGGAAACCTCGTATCTCCATTTTAAAACCAAACACCTGCTGCGTGTTGGTTTATTTTATTATTCTGTGAACCATATTTCAGAATTTATTTTTAAACAACTCCTCTAATTGTCCTTAAAGCAGATTTAAACGTCGCTTGAAGCAGCCGTTTCTGAATCAGCAGCTTCTCATCCAGACGCTCCAACAGCTGCACATTCTTCAGTTTAAGGATAAAACACATTTAAATCAGCTTAATGAGTTCTCTGGTAGAAAAAGAGCTGAACAGAACCCAGAGCAACATGTGACAAGCTCAACCAGCAGATCATTACGTAGAAACACTGAAATAAAACCCGACATGAAGTCAAACTGTTGGAGATCCAACGTCTCGTTTTGTTCGACTGCAGCTGAAAAACAAAATCTTTGAACTTCAGCAGCTCGATTTTATTCAGAAATGACAAAAGCACATTTAAATGAACGGATGTTTAAAACCTCTGACAGACAGAAGTTTCCTCAGAGCTTTATGTTATTAAAGATGCAAAGATTTTAACATTTTATTACATTTAGTTTAAAAACATTTAGTGAAGTTGTTCATCTTTCTGCTGTGAACCTCTTTGGTTCAGTGATTCAGTTTAAATGTAAAACTTCATCCCTTATTGAACTCACGCTTTTATCCATCAAACCAGACGGACTTTATGATTCATAACTAACTGAAATATGGACTGAGACAGAATTAAAACATCAAAATGAAGAGCGGAGCTCTAAACACTGATCCCACCTAGTTCATCTACAACCTCAACGTTTGCTGACTTTTAATGAAGGAAAATACAAAAGTCCTTCTGCTTCCGTTTCATCTCTCAGCTTCAGACACCAAACAAGAAATCAATGAACTCAATGAAACACTTTTCCAGTCTAGAAGTCCACATAATGAGTCAGAGTCGATGCTTTCATGGCTCCGGTTTCTATCAAATGCTTTGTTTAAAGGATGTTTAGTTTGTAGCTGCAGCAGGGATTCAGCAGAACAGCAGGACGCTCGGTTCATTTCTGAGGCTGATTCCACCAAAACATGGACAAAGATTTACAGCAAGACACCATAAACCGGCTCATAAAGCTGCTCTGGATCGAATTTAAAAACCAACAGACGACGACAACAACAACAACAACAACAACAACAACAACAACAACAGTAATAATAATAAATCTGAGAGTGTTTAAAGAAAATTCTTTAATTGAAGTTATTACAGGAAGTATGAACGTCATGAATCTGGACAATAAATAAACTGTTTGTGATCAGCTGTTTGTGCTCGTTGCTGAATGAATTAATAATATTGTTCACGGTCCCTTTTTAAATAAACTGATCAATAATAAGGATAATTGATCGATCAGCTTCAGTTTGTTTTAAAAAACCGTTTAATAGAAATAACTTTTTGTAAATTAGCCTTTAATTGAAACACAAACTGAAAACTCACAACAAACAAAACAAATAATCCTCCAGACTGAGTGAAATATTGATCAGTTATTGATGAGTCATCGATCAGATCAGTTCCTGAACAGCTGCGACAGTAAAACCAGCTGAAGTTAAATCTAGGTTCTGATCCGAGTCCAGGTTTACTGAGAGGTCACAGCAAGGTCACGTCAACACGGAGCCATCCGTTATTGATCACTTATTGATCAGTTATTGATCAGTTATTGATCAGTTATTGATCAGTTATTGATCCCTGCAGCTCATACTTTAAGCTCTCAGCTTTTACACTCGAATCCGTTTGTTAGTTGTTTTTGTTGTCGTTTCGTTTGTTCCTCATTCAGGCGTCTTCATTTCTTTTCAGTTCAGTTCATTTGAACATTTTTTCCTTTTTGAGGACGAAGCTTTTGTCCTGTTCCTTCATGAGGAGCGTCTCCTCCTCCTCCGACTCGACCACCTGCTGCCGTCCGTCGGACATTTTTAGCCTCCGTCCGTCTCACTGCTGCCAACCGAAGCTCAGTGAAGTGACTCAGCACATTTTCATCCAAACGCTCTGAACAACATTTAGTTTAGTTTATAAAAGTGAAAACAGAAACTCAGCTCTTCTTCTGTGGTTTCATCACAGGCTCAGACTGAGGACAGGAAGCGTTTTACTGCTTCTAGTAATGTGATGCTAAGAACACCATAAAAACAGCCTTCACCAGCGCCGACAGCTGAGCTCCACAGTGACAGCAACAGTCATGATTAAATGCTGCTCTTCTTATTAAATACAAACAGATTTAATGACATCAGTCGCGTTGTTTGAATTAAGAACTGTAGCTGATGGTACTTTGAGGCGGTTTTGTCCGTCGGCGCCCTCTGGTGGTGCCGCAGCAGCAACATGGGAGGTCGGAGCGGTTGTTGTGTTCAACTCTGTTGTTGAAGCTCTGCTTTAACTCCAGCTACAGTCATAAACGATTCACAAGAACTGCTGTTAGCGGTTAGCTGTTAGCGGTTAGCCTCCGTGGGGCACCAGGACCAACTGGGGCTGAAGCTCCACCTTTATGGTTTCTGCAGCAGAATCAGGTGAAAGGAGCCATACAGCAGCATAGGGAGGAGGTCGGGGTGGATGGATGGGTCACCAAAACATTGGACTGAAACACAGAAACTGCTGTTTGTATCCCCTCTCAGGTATGGTCACCACGACAACGTAGGTCATTGACCCTGAATAAATAACTGGTCTTAATCCTGATCTGTGGGTATTTAGCAGCCGGCAGTGGTTGTTATCACATGGTGTGTTTGAGTTCGTGGTGGGGAGACGTACCTGAGGAGTGTCAGGTTGACTCCAGCTGGTTGGACGACGTGTTGGTTGAAGTTACAGCTGCAGTGATTAATCAGAATGGGAACTGGTTTTCTCCTATAAGATTAATTAGCGACTAAACTTAAAGATATTTGTCATGAAACAAAAGTTCTCTGACTTCAGATTCTCTGACATTTTAGACCAAAACTATTTAAAGTTCTCATTATGAGCAGCATGTGTATTCAGCAGCAGGTTGGACGTGTCAGCTTCCATTACGGATATATCAATCAATAATCAATCAATAATTACCTGACTGGAGTTCAGTAGGTACGTGTTCATACGCTGATGAAGCCGTTTTAATGACATTTGCTGATCAGTGACTTTGTTACTTTGTCACTTATTTATTGGGTGATTTAAACGTGAACCTCCTCAGAGTCTCTGTCATGGTCCCGTTCTGCTAAACTCCCACAATGCTCTCTGCTGCCACCATGAGCTGTAGTCTGTAGACGCCTCCTCTGGTTGCTACAGGACTAAACAGTGAGAGGCTCCACCTGGTGGAACAGCCAGGTACTGCAGCTGGTCTGTGGTACATCTACTGACTTGTATGTACAGAATACAGGTTTTCACTGTGTTTTGGAGCTTGGGGATCCACCCTCTAACTGTCTCTCACAGACACTCAGCTGTGCTAGCATCTGAAACTCCTAGCTTAGCATTGTTAGCATGCTTGTCAGGTTGCTAGCTAAACTGGACAGCAGGTAGACATCTTTTTACAACTTGACGCTGAAGAGTTCATCAGCGCTACCACAAGAAGGTGCGCTTGTTTTATGGACCGCTAGAGTCAGTCAGCAAACACACCTGTAACTCCGTCTCACTGAACAGGAAAAGGCTCCACCTGGTGGCACAACCAGGTACTACAGCGGGTCTGTGGCGCATCTACTGACATCATGACCTCCAGCTGCTGCCTTTTTGCTTCATGTAGTTTTAATCAGTTACATTGATTGTTAAGCCAGTGATCATTAACACTTTACTTCTCTGTGACCTTTCTGCTCCTCGCCGTGTTTCTGACCAACAGTTTGATCTTCTTGTCCAAATTCTGGCAGAAGTAAAAACGTGCTGAACATCTGGACGTCCAGATGTTTTTTCCAACAAATTCAGACTCTGAATCCACTTTTGTAATTATTAGAAACTTTAATTTCTTACAGTGTTTTAAGTTTTTCATGTATTCCATCCTGACATCTTTTGACTTTCTTTTAGATTTTGGCTTTAAAGTTTAATTTTCTGTTTTAAATCAGATTTTATTTGCTTTTATTTTTATGTGTACATAAGAACTGAGTATCAGACGATCTAATTCTGCAGCTCAACAATCAGCTGCTTTTCATCACAACAACCTGCGAAGTCCTTCAGGCTTTCTTCTGGCAATTTTCTCACAACACGTTTAAAATGAGTGTTTGGTTCTGTCCGTTGTGTCTAAAGGGTCTGCCGTTGTGTGTTGTGTGTTGCAGAGTGCCGATCATCATGTCAACACAAGCGCCATCGTTCACGCAGCCGCTTCAGAGCGTCGTAGCACTAGAGGGTAGTGCTGCGACGTTCCAGGCTCAAGTTAGTGGTAAGAAGCATCCACCGCCGACGATTTAGTGTTGGTCTGAATTCACTGTTTAACCTTTATGCTGCCACCGTGATGCGTTCAGGAGCAGCAGGAGTTTTACCACCTGCTGCTGCATTCAGGGACTTTCTGACATTTTAAACTTTATGCATTTTGTTAAAAATGAGTTTTTTCTGTCATCAATAAGTCATGACCATAAAAGCTACATGATTAAAAGAGAAATTAAATGTAAGTGAACAAATCAAATGTGATTTACAGATTAAACTGTTGTTGACACAAAAATCACATTTTTGATTTTAAGAATAAAACTTTAATGTAACGTTTCTGATTTCTAACAAGTTTTTTTTTCTGAAATGTTTAATTTCAAGCCTAATTTTTGAATCAGAAATGTGGATTTTATTGTGAGATGACTTATTTAGTCAGTCAGGATGTTTTTAGTTTTACATTTTATTCACTTTTTCTGCTCCAATGTTTTGCTTTTCCCACAAAAGTTTCACCTTTTTATTCTGGAATTCAAATTTTATCAGAGATTTTCCAGCAGTTTTCTCATTTGTTGACTGAATATGTGAAAAGGTTCTGCTCTTTATTTTAATCTGACATTTTAAGTTAAAGTCTCGTTTAACATCTGAGAATGGATGAGAGACGTGGATTACACACAGAATCAGATTTTGTTTGTCCAGCAGGTTTCAGTTCCGGAGCTTCTGGTGTTTGTGGGTTTCTTGGTTCTCTGACAGCGTCTGGTCTGGTTCTGTTCTGCTCTGCAGGTTCTCCAGTTCCTGAGGTGAGCTGGTTCCGTGATGGCCAGGTTCTTTCCGCCGCCGCTCTGCCCGGCGTTCAGATCTCGTTCAGCGACGGCCGCGCTGTTCTGAGGATCCCCGCTGTGACCGCCGCACACAGCGGGAGGTTTTCTGTCAGAGCCACCAACGGCGCCGGACAGGCCACGAGCACCGCTGAACTCCTCGTTACAGGTGAGCACAGGTAGACCTGCACAGGTAGACAGTACAGGTAGACAGTACAGGTAGACCAGTACAGGTAGACCAGTACAGGTAGACAGTACAGGTAGACCAGT